ATGTCCCCGCGGGAGTTGGAAGAATTACGGAAGCAGTTGGACGAGCTTCTCGAAAAGGGTTGGATTAGGCCAAGTTCGTCTCCTTTTGGAGCCCCTGTTCTCTTTGTCCCTAAGAAAGAGGGAGAGCTGAGGATGTGTATAGACTATAGGGACCTGAATGTTATTACAGTAAAAAATGTTGAGCCACTGCCTAGGATAGACGATCTCTTAGATCGAGTGCAGGGGGCGAAGTATTTTTCTAAGATAGATTTGAAGTCCGGATATCATCAAATAGAGGTGCATCCTGATGATCAGTATAAGACAGCCTTCHGGACTAGATATGGGCACTACGAGTTCATAGTGATGCCCTTTGGACTAACCAATGCGCCAGCTACGTTCCAGCGCTGTATGAACGAGTTGTTCAGGCCGTGGTTAGATAGATTTGTTATAGTGTACCTAGATGACATTCTAGTGTTTAGTAAGGCCCTCGACGAGTATCAGGGTCATCTCAGGCAGGTCTTGGAAAAGCTGAGGGAAGATAACTTCAAGATCAATGCAAAGAAGTGCGATTGGGCAAAGACCCAAGTTTTGTATTTAGGCCACGTCTTAGACGGAGACGGCATTAAGCCTGAAGACAGTAAAATTGCAGCGATTAGAGATTGGCCAACGCCGCGTACGTTGACAGAGTTGCGGTCGTTTTTAGGCCTAGCTAACTATTATAGGAAGTTCGTGAGGAACTTCTCCACCATCGCTGCGCCCCTTCGCAGATTGCTAAGAAAAGAGACAATCTGGAAGTGGAACAAGGACTGCACGTCTGCCATGAAGAAGCTAAAGCAGGCCTTGATAGAGTACCCGGTCCTTAAGGTCGTCGATCCGTCCTTGCCTTTTGTCGTTACTACGGATGCTAGCAAGTAGGGCATAGGCGCAGTGTTACAGCAAGACGATGGCAATGGGTATAGACCCGTAGAGTTCATGTCCGCCAGAATGCCTTCAGAGAAGGTCGCGACATCTACCTATGAGAGGGAACTCTACGCTCTCAGGCAAGCGTTAGACCACTGGAAGCACTACTTGCTTGGGAGGCACTTCAAAGTCTATTCTGACCATGAAACGTTACGATGGTTAAAGACGCAGGCCAAGATGACACCTAAGCTTACTAGGTGGGCCGCAGAGATAGATCAGTACGACTTTGAGCTCAAGCCTGTCAAAGGGAAGTACAACGTAGTCGCGGATGCTCTGAGTAGAAGAGCTGATTATTTTGGGGCAATAGTACATTACCTCGATATAGGAAAGGATGTGCGGCAGCAGGTTAGAGAAGCCTACGCGCATATGGTGAGCTCCTTAAGAAAGTCAAGGAGGCCCCAGAGACCGAGCCGAACTACCGCACTACTGAAGGGTTGCTTTTTGAGAAGACTAATGTTTTTGACCGATTGTGCATCCCCAATAGCGAAGAGATCCGCAGTCTGATTCTGGGAGAATGCCATGACACAGAAGGTCATTTTGGTTGGCAAAAGACCTTAGCCAATCTGATGCGCGCGTATACCTTGCCAGGGATGAAGAATGACTGCGTAGAGTATGTTCGCAGTTATAAGGTCTGCCAGCGTAACAAGTCTTCTACGCGTGCCCCGTTAGGTCTTCTCAGACCCTTGCCCATTCCGGATCAGCCGGGAGACTCAGTGTCAATAGATTTCATGGACACTCAAGTCAAAAGCAGGCATGGCAAGAGCCAAGTCATGATCATAGTTGACCGCTTTAGCAAGTACGCAGTTTTTATTCGTTTGCCTTATGAGGCGCGTACTGATTTAGTCATACAGAGGTTCTTTGACTGTTGGGTTAGTGAGAATGGAATCCCGCTGTCTATAGTTAGCGATAGAGATAGCCGCTTTACCAGCCAGAACTGGCAAGAACTCATGGGAGTATACGGATCTAAGTTGTTGATGTCGTTCGGCCGCCATCCAGAGACTAACGGTCAGACAGAGCAAATGAACAAGATCCTGCAGCAAGTTCTGCGCATGTATATTAGGCCAGATCAGATTAACTGGGATGAGATGTTGCCTAAAGTAGCTAGTGCGTACAATAACAGCGTG